AATTCATGTTTGCAGAAGACCCAGTCCACCTGCAGCAAGCTGGGCCTGTACATGCTCAGACTCTGGCTCCTCCTGCTGGACAGACATGTTGCAGACAGGCCTGTGTTTATGAAGCTTTAAATGGGCAACAGCTGGACAAAACAAGCAAGACAGATCTTAGAAAAAAGTAAGAGCTGGCTGAGGGGGCATGAACAGGGTTGGATCAACCATACAGGCATAGTAGGAACCCACCTGGGGGCACAAAACCAGTAAGGGGGAGCACTGCTGGTTGCCCACTCCTCTAACTGTGCCCCTGTGATATTTATGCATGTTTAAAATAAAAAATAATTATAATTTAGGATAAAGAAGACAAAAATTTTAAAAGTTTAATTGGTGAAAACAGTAAACAAAGACAGGAATCCAAAATTCCAACTTAAAATGTAAAACAAACCAGAACCATGGAGACATCAGGGGAAAACAATCAGCAACAGCAATGACGAACCAGCGACGAGTGACAGCAGTATTTATGGCTGACTGAACAAAGGCAGGGCTAACAAGCAGATAAGGAGCAGGTGTGAGTGGAGACAGCGAGGAAGCCAAAGGAAAAGGAACACACACAAGAGGGCAACAGAGGACAACAAAGAAAAACCTGAGATCTAAAATACATACAGAAAATACAACAAAATAGGAATTAAACCAATAAAACTACAAAACATGGAACAAAGTAAAACATTACAGAATCAAGACCGTGACACCTCTAGCTCCAAATTGTGACTTACACCGATTGTTAAATCTCGAACTATATCATTACCCAATTTAAATGAAATGTTTCTCTGCATGAAGCACAGTGCTAGTTATAAAAATAAAGTATGTATATATATATATGTGTGTGTATACATACTAGATAAATAATTAATTGATCAATTGTTTTTTTTTATTTTGTGTCATTTAAAGGCACAGAGATTTATTTTATTAGCTACTTTTTTCATTTCTGTATGTATTTTTTATTACAGCAGGATTGGTGATCCACAGTGGTGAATTCAAAACAACTTTTCCATCATTAACCGGCAGCTGAGGACTAATGGTTGAGTCTTTGCTGTAAAAGCAGTTAACAGAGAAGAATGAGAAAGAAGACGAAGGACTGTTATAAGGTAGAACGACATCATTTCCATCTGCGATACAGATGGAGATCTCCTCCACTGGTTTCTAAAGCAGAGACAAAGACTGTTAGGTTTATTCTTTTATACATCATGTGCATTGTTATTTTTGTTAGTCAGATTAGACAGAGTAGAAGGCCTTCCTTCACATTGTGGATGTCACGGTGTGTACGGAGGTCATCTAATCGGGACAGCTTTCGTGTGTTTAAGAA